TTCTTCATAATAAGACAAACGGTCCGTGAAGAGGTTTAAGTCAGGGTGATTTAAAGATTGATCTTTCAAGTCATCTTGCGGTTTACTGGTTTCGGATACAAGTTGAATCGTGATCATCCTTTTCACCATCAGAAGGCAGAGGTAACAAGGTAGCAGGGTTTAAAGTGTTGCACCTTTCCACTTTCAAATTATCAGCCAATAGTAAAATTATTTCATATCTATGTACTTGTTGAGGAGATAAAGCTTTCTCTGCATACTGCTTTAATAAAATTTCTACCTCATGAGGTACACAAACAGTTAGTGAATGTCCTAAAACAATTACTCTAGACTTTTCTACCATTTCAGCAGCTGCAGCTATCGCCCTGATACAGAAGGGAGTTCCTTTAATCACCAGGTCTAGAGTGGAAGAAAAATAAGCAACTGGTCTTTCACGTGGGCCCAAAGTTTGTACTAATACCCCCTTTGCTAGTCCCTTTGTTTCATCACAGTATAGCTTAAAAGGTTTTGAATAATCAGGAAGCCCTTATGCTGGAGCAGATAAAAGTGCTGCTTTTAGGGTACAGAAAGCTTTTTCTCTTTCAGCACCCCAAGCAATCGGCTCAATTCCTTCATTACGAGTTTCTTCATGCAAAGGTCTGGCAATTTCACTAAATCCAGGAATCCAAGGATGACAAACCCACCTGTCCCAAAAATCCCCTTGATTGTTTCTTAGTTATCAGTCTGGGGAGTTCTTGAACAGCTTTGACCCTTTCAGTGTCTGCTTCTCGTCTTCCTGGTTTTAATATAAAGCCCAAATATTTTACTTGCTGTTCACAAAACTCTGCAACTTGGAGGGGGATGCACGGTGTCCCTTTTTTACAATATATTTGTGTATTCAACTTGTATCTCTGATAGAATCATCTTTAGTTTTACTTGCTAACAACAAATCATCCACATACTGTATTACAATTGATTTATTTGGAAAAATTAAATCCTGTAAGTCATTTTTCAAAACTTGAGAAAATATAGTAGGAGAGCTAGTGAATCCTTGTGATAACCTGGTCCAGGTTAATTGTCTTCCTTGCCAAGTGAAGGCAAAAAATTGCTGGCTTTCTTCTGCAATAGGAATGCTAAAGAAAGGCCCAGTTAGATGAAGTACAGTAAAATACTGTACCCAATTGGGGATTTGAGTTAGAATTATATTAGGATCTGGGACCACAGGGTGTGGAGCAATTACACGTTCATTCAGAGCTCCTAAGTCTTGCACAAATCCATATTCATATCAATTCTGTGTTTACTTACAGGTAAGATTGGGGTGTTATATGGACTATGACGTTCCTTTAAAATTCCTTCCTCTAAAAAATGCCTAATTTGTTTTTCTAGACTAGGAATAGCCTCAGCTACAATTGGATATTGTCAAATTGAAGGAGGAGTCCCTCCTTTTGTTTTTATTATGACAGGTTCAGCTGATTTCAATAATCCTACTTCATCTCCTGAAGTACTCCAGAGTTCTCTGGGAACACCGGCCAATTCAGATGATATTTTACTCGCATTTGTTTGTTTCTGATTTTCCACTTAAACAATTTCAGACCTCATTACAATTAGTTGGATTCCCGTAGGAGCCAAAGAGATAAATGTACCAAATGCCTGCAATAAATCTCATCCCAACAGGGGAACTGGGAGATATCACAGATCTTCCCCAAACCAATTTTTTGTTCAAAATTACAGGCAATGGAGTGGCTAGGTATCTTATTTCCTCTCCTACAACCCCCCTTATTCTCACTGATTCATTTAACTTTTGGGGAATATTAAAATCTAACAAAAATAAGGTTGCTCCTGTGTCCACTGAAAAGGTGACACAAATACAGTTTAGCTTTGCAGAAATTTGACCACATTAGTCTACCTTGATTCCAATGAGTTCCATGGCTCCTTTAATTCCCAGAGAAGTCGGATCACCTCATGACAGTGACATGCAACTGTGACCAAAGAATCTTTACTTTGATCTGATCATCTTTCCAGCTTTTGCAGTTGCACGGAGACTTGGGAAAATTCAAGAGCCTTGGAAAATTCCCTGCTTTACCGACAGCTGCCGCACTGCGAAGCTCAGTTGTGCTGGTTTTGGTGTCTTTGGGGTTTTTTTTGGTGGATTTGGATGAGGTGGAGGTGAGGGAGAAAGTGGAAAATCAAAACAAAATTGCTTTGCTTCTCCCAGTGTGTGGGAGAAGACTCCAACCTTGGTGAGGAGCCACCAAACCGCTGCTCCAGGATGTTTTTTGGCATCCTGGCGAATTCCCTGGCACCAAGTCTATCTGGTTATTCCCCAACACAAACGCCGTTTACATTTTGCTGAGCCATGGTACCTGTTGCAGTTGCTTTCTTGCTCACACAGTCGCTGTTTCAGATGCAGCTGGAAGCAATTCAGGGAGCATTTGAATTCCAGGATATCCTGTTGGCTGTTGCTGGTCAGGCAGGTTTCCCAGGAGCATGTGCCAGTCAGGGCTTCCACGTCCTGACTCAAAATGGGGCCATTTCCACCTAAAATAAGGATGGATTTGATCTGCAGCATCATTCTGCTGTCGAGGCTGGAGGCTGCAACCTCTGGAGTGAAATCCCAGAGCAAAGCAGGATGCAGGGGCTGGGATAAGGTGGTTTTAGGGGAGATTTTAACCATTTTGGATAACAGACCCTGCCACTCACTGTGTCACTGCAGCAGCCACACGACAGCACCCACAAAGACCACGGTCTCAAACCATCCAGCTCCCAGCAGTGCCCAGTACCACCAGTGACCTGCAACAAGATCCATACTGGGAGTAAGGGAGGAAACAGCTTCTTTGTGGTTTTTGCATTGTTTTTAACACCCTGTTTTTCAGCAGACAGGTCCCCCCACGTTGCTCTGCTTAGCGAGAAAACCTTGCAAACATCTGCAGGAGCAATGCAGCTGAGAAAACCCACAACCTGCTTTGCTTGTTGGTCTGGGGAAGCCGCGGCTGACAAACCCGCAAAGCTCAGCTCCTCTCTTTTCCTCTTTGTGCTGCACCCAGAAGTGCCCTGGAGAAGGGAAAGACCCAAAGTAAATCCGTTGGGATGCTCAAAGTGATGGGGAGAGGTTGCTGGTTACCGCACGGCTCCTGCTCAGCTTTGCTGAGCTGCAGTAGTTAAAAAATTAAAATTAAAAAGCTGAGCACATGAAGCTCTGCATGGAGGGGTAGCAGTGTCCTTGGGGGTTGGCTGTATTTTTTTCCTCCTTTCCAAGAAAATCAGGTTATAGGGAAGAAACCTGCTTGTGCCATCTCTCTGTCCCAAGCTGGAGACGGGCGGCAAACCTGCTTTAGAGCAAAGCATTGAGTTTTGGCTACCATGGAAATGGATGGAGAAGGCACAGGAAATCCTTTCTTCCCCATGTTTTCCTGCAGGGTAGAGATCCAACATCATTGAGGACATCAGCTTCTCCAAACCTTCTCCATCAACAAGCAGAAATCCCATGAAATCGGGATGAGAGGACAACAGCTGGTCCTTGCCCTTGTGGCATGAAAATTCAGGCAAACAGATATTTTTTTTATCCCCTCTGGAGCAAGAACGAGCTCAAAGCCCAGCAGTTGGTGGGTTTTGTGTCTGAAGTCAGAGTTAAAATCTCACGCTCGCTGTTGTGCCTCGGCTGTCACATTTCTCTTCATCCTGCTCCTACCTGCTGCGGCAGCCCTCAAAGAGCTCTTTCCAAAAGAAAAAACTGTTTTTTTCCAAGATGTGGAGCTGCTTGGGGTGAGGAAGGAATGTGCCTGAAGATCTCCCATTGATTAAATCATCTTCTTCCCACTGCCAAAGCAGTGCTGTCACTGGCATGAACTAATATATATATATTTTGCTTTCCTACCTGCTTTTATCTATTAGCAAAGAGCAAGGATGTGCCTGCAGTTTGCAGGGTGCCAGTTAATTTTTTAATCCCTCTGCAGAGAAGTGAGAAAAACGGAGCTGGTGGTGCGGGAAATGCCAAACCTGTTGTGTTCAGCTACAAAAAAAAAAAATCACAATCGACTTTATTTGGTCTTTCTAGAGGCAAATTTGCAGGAGACTGGGGGCTTGTGCTCCTGCAAACACTCAAAATGCAACATTCAAAATCCCCTCTGGGAAAAAGGGGTGAGGAAAAGACCAGATCCTCTTGAAAATCCCCCAGAAAAAAACCCAAAAGCAAAACAAAGCAAAAAAATATTTAATTTTTTACTACTTTCTGTTTCACTTTTCACAGGAGGATCGCACTTTGACATTCTGCTTCTTCCCACGAGTTGGAGCCAGGTAAGGGGATTTGGAATGAGCTGGGTGAGGTACTGAGAGTTAAAATTTTAATTTTTAATTCTAGAGAGAAAACTTTAATTTTATTCTGCTTTACTTTTTCTTTTCTTTTTTATTTGGCAAGGGCGTGGGGAAGAAGACTTTAATCGGAGGGAGACAAATATAATTGCAGCATTGTAATTGGGGGGGAGAAAATTTTAATAGTGGGGAGAGAACACTTTAATTATGGGGGAATATGGGGGAGAAAAAATAACTATGGGGAGAAAACTTTAATTGGGAGGAAGAAATTTTCATTGTGTGGAGAATCCTCTTAAAAACTGTGGCTCCTCTTAAAAAAAAAACCCAAACAAACAAACAAAAAACCATGTGATTTTGGTTCGAGACACCAATTTCAAAAAAAGAAAACAACAACCTTTTATTTACGTTTTCATCTTGCTAATTTGACACCAAAATACTTGTCCCCTGGAATTTATGTCTAATTTCTTTCCCCGCTGTCATTTTTTGTGCTGCCCGTTGATATTTTTAACCAGTAGCTGGAAGATTTATAGACCCCACGGTGCAAAATTAACATAAGTGTAGAAATGTCATTTTCTGCCATTAATTTCCCCCCCACTCACGTTCAGAGCCCAATGTGAAAATCCTATGGGGAGGCTGAGGACTGACAGCTTTTGTGACACCGCTGACAGGTGAAACTTTGCTTGGCAGGAGCATCCATGGAGGTGGAACCCCCAGAAATGAAGGAAATGAGAGATGATTCTGGATTTTTGGGTGTGGAAAGAAGGAAACGGGCAGGTAACTATAGAGCAACGAACTAAATAATTGCTGGGGGTTTTGTTTTGTTTTAGTTTTGTAATACTTCTATAATTTGAGAACAAAAAGCAGCTGAGGGGAGTTTGTAGAGGGGGGGGGAAAAAAAGCTTTTTCTAGCACTTCCCTTGGGGGAAAATTTTTGTCGCTCAGCAGGTGGAATTTTTGCTCTAAACAGTCTCATTTCAGACCCTTTGGGTTATTCTCATCAAAGATTAATTCTCCTTGAGGCACATGAGTCACTGTTTCTTTTGGATCTTTTTAATTTCCTCCCCACCCTGCAAATAACTCAGATTTCTACTTTATTCTGAAGGAGAATAAAGAAAATTTTTGAATAGTTGAAGTGTTAAAAGACCCCAAAAAAATAAGTTTGGGATTTAAGTCCAGTTCAGACACATCAGTAAAATACTGATTAATCTCTGCCTTCCCTTTAGTTCTCCTGACTCTCCCTCCCACCTTTGTCATCCTCTTGGTGCACAATAAGGTAGAAAAGGGAGTTTTTTTGGGTCTTTTCTATCATCACAGCCAGGGATTAAGATTTTGAGGAATGGTTTTTTTATTTAACATATTTGTTGACTTTTTAGTTTTTTTGGGTCTTTTCTATCATCACAGCCAGGGATTAAGATTTTGAGGAATGGTTTTTTTATTTAACATATTTGTTGACTTTTTTATGTGTTGATTTTTGATTTATTTATTTTTATTTGTTGATTTTTGATGTGTTGATCTTTTTTATCTGTTGATTATTTTTTGATTTGTGCATTTTTTTATTTGCATTTTTAATTATTTTTTATTTGTTGATTTTTTTAATTTGTTGAACTTTTTTATTTGGCTTTTTATTATTTGGCATATTTCATTTTTAACTTACTTTCTAATATTATTTTTGTATGAGAAGGTGGAGAAGAAGAGATGAAAGGAGGGTTTGTCCCATGAGATTTGGTTCATGGGATAAATGGGGAGAAATAAAGGTAAGCTTAAAAGAAAAAAACAACAGAGGAAGTGCACTGGGTAAAAACAGAGATTTTTAGGTAAAACCCTAAGAAAGCAGAATTTTCTTTGCCTATGGAGGGAGGAAAGAGCGTGTTCTGGAGCACAAGACCCAGACATGGAGTGACTGTGACTTGAATTGTTTGCAAGCCCAAAGTGTCTCAATTGAGATCGAGAAAGAAGTCCCCTGAGCTCTATTAATGAAGCAAAACCCCAAAATTAAAAGGTAATTTTAATTATGGTGCATTTTAGGACAGATGTTTTCACCTGGAATTCGGTAGGAAACAATGCTCCCCTGCTAAGGAGTTTCCAAAAGTAAAAAAAATAGATCATTTTATTCCATGTGGAGAAGAATTTTTGATGTTCTCACCCAAAATGGCAGCAGGTCCACGTGGTGTGGGGAAGAGAGTGACCTCTCATCATTTGGGCATCAGATGATTCCTGTCCTTAAAGAAGGCTCATCCCAAAGATGCTTTTGATGAGCATCACCCAAGTGCTCAGATGTGGGGCTCAGTGGTCTCCCGATATGGGAAGGTTGCATTAAAAGTCCACTTCCTCCTCAAGCAAAAGGAGGAAAAAACATCTTTTAGTGCCAACAGGCTGGACCTGGAGCATGTTGCTCCTCTTGGTGCCCCCACAAAGGTGCTGAAGGTCTCTTCTCCAGCAGGTTACAGCCTTGAGATGAAGCCGGAGGCGCGTGTTGCCTGTCAGGTGACGATGACAGTGTTGTTCATCGCTCTACTCATCACGGCCACCACTTTTGCAGGTGACTGTCGAGGTTTTTATCTCATGGGGAATGTCTCTGAGATAGTTGGGGTTGTTACACATGTGCCAGAGCCACCTCCATGCTCCCAGAAAAGATGCAGCCCAATGGAAGATGCTGTCCTCTCCAGGAGAGGGACTTTTCAATGAGCAAAGGAGCCTTTTTATGGAAGACCAACCCCATCTTCTCTGTGTAGGAGCTGATGTTGTCTAGAAATCCTTAAAAAAACCAAATGGGTACAGTCATCTGAGGTTTCCAAAAGGTGGGTTTTTTTCAGAGAAGAGGCCATTTATCTGCTGCTTCTCCAAGCAGCAAGAGATGTTGGCATGAGTTCCACCAAGCCAAGAAGTCTGCAGGAATAAGAGACCATTTTTTTTTTCTGTCCTTTGCCCATCACTACTTTTGCATTAATGACAGATAAGGGTGTGTTTTGGGATAGGCCTATTCTGGAAATCCTCTTAAAACTTCCATCTTTGAAGATCACCACCCTGTTTTCTTCTTTGAAGGTACAGCACCTACATTTCTTATCCAACACCAGAAGCTGGGCCATGATTTGAGCTTTTCTCCCTCTAATCCACCCAAGATATCTCTTGGTGTCTTGCTTTTTATTTCCTCCCACTGTTGAAGCAGATGTAGGATTTTTTGAAGGACCTTCCCCACCTCAGAGAGTCAAGGAGAAGGTGCTGCTCCATAACACTATTGTTCTATCAATGACAGTGCAGGCTTTCCAACCTCGACCCAAACCCTGTTTTCGGTGTCCATTCGATTGGATCGGGTACAGAGGAAAATGCTACTATTTTTTGGAGGCTGAAGGGAACTGGACATCCAGCCAGGACAACTGCTCAGCACTTGGTGCTTCCTTGGCCATCCTCGACAATGTGGAGGACTTGGTAAGGAGACATCAGAACATGCTTAGCACAGGGAAAAAAAGCCACCAGTGTATTTGCTACCTTCTGGTTTCTTTGACTGCTCTTCCGGGATCTTCCTTGGAGATAGGGAAAATGGTTTCCTTGAGGGCAGGTCATCATGAGTCTTCTCGAATTTCTCAGCAAAGCCAACTGATGCAAGAATTACAGCAAAAAAAGCCCCATTTCTGTGCAATAATGAAGCTCTGCTTTAAAGATTACACTTTTTGGTAACAGGTTGAAAGGTCCAAGCATCAAAGGAGCCTTAAAAGAGCATTAGCAACTGGTAAAATGTAGATTATTGGTTGGAAGGAGGTTTTTGCAGATGGCGACCTGCTAGAGATGTCCCAAAGCCCCATAACCTGCTATAAAACCTTTTTCTCTCCCTTTTTCCTAGAGCTTTGTGATGAGATATAAAGGCATCTCGGAGCATTGGATCGGCCTTTCACGGGAAGATGAGGAGCAGCCATGGAGATGGGTGAACCACTCGGGTTTATCTCACCTGTGAGTCTGTATTTTTCCTTGTTTTGTCATTGATTGGTGTTTCCTCAGCCCTGAAATGGACATTTCTGTCACTTGAGGTAGATCCAGAGGTAGCAATGGGATGATGACATTTGGGAAAGACGACATTGCATCCCGAGCTGGTCTTCGTTTTTCCCTTTGACTTGAGAGGTGGACATGGTGTGTTTGGTGGGGAAAAAACTTTGTTAAAGTTTTTATTTTTAAATTTTGTTTTTTCTTTCAAAGCATCAGGTTTCTTACGGCCAACCCCAATTGCTGCCAAAGTAGAAATAATGCTGCATCAATATCAGCATATTGATGCCCAGGAGGGTGCCTGAGGACTGAAGGGGCAGGGGGAGGAAAGGCAATGTGTGATTTTTCTCCTTTATCCTGCTGTCCCCATCTGAGGTGGGTTCTCATCTGTCCTTCCAGGTTTCAGATCCGTGGTGGTGGTCTCTGCGCCTACCTGAGCGACGACGGGCTCAGCTCCTCCAGCTGCAGCACTGAAAGGAGCTGGGTTTGTAATAAACCTGAGCTGCAGAGCCCAAGCAAGGGCAACAGGAAGAGACGGGCTCAACACCTTTGCATCAGCTCCTAAGGGGGCTTCAGGAAGTGCTCCTCAAACCCAAATATCCGTTGCATGATAGAGAAACAAAAGAAAAACCTCAAAAAAACACCCACAGTAAAAGCAAACTCAAGGGAAAAAAGCCTATTGCCTAAAATTGCCCAACTTATTTGCCCAAAGTTAATAAGTGTCTGCATTTGCCAACCCAGCATTGCTGTATGAAGGCCGGGTCCTGTTAATTAGCCTTGGATTAATGAAACAACAGCAGCTTTCAGATGAGACAAGCCATGCTAAGATTGGACCCAAAACCCCCTGGATATAACCCAAAATGGACACATCTAAGATGGAGGTAGGACGATGAGCTGAGGTAGAAATGACTCCAAGATATGTAAAATAGAGTTGAGGAGCATGAAGGAGCATTTCCAACCACTGTGGAGCAACCAGCTTCGAGGGGACCCTACCAGCACATCAGTTCTTGGGCGACAGTTGGATGGTGGAGAGGAGCACACAGAAGTAGGGGAAGACCTTCTCTCCGCTGAAGGAGGCCACGGAGAAGGTGAAGATGCATTGGCGGCTGCCAACAGTGTAGAAGGAGACGTGTCTCACCTCATAGTCCAGGTAGACCCCAGTCTCCCTGTTGAGGAGTGGGACGAAGGTGTTGGAAGAAGCTGTGAGGGCCACGCAGAGCTCATCATACTTCTGCAAACCTCAAATCTCTGTGTTGGGCTTGAAGAGGACCCAGCCTTTCTTCTGAACCGACTCATGGGCCACTCCAACAGCCCAGAAGTGCCTCTTCACCTCCACCTCCCAGTAGTGACGACCTGAGGTGAAGCCCTCCCTGCCCAACATGGACAGATCCGTGTTGAACCATCCTGGACCGTCAAGCCAATGATGTCCAGGTCTACCCCAGGTGGTAGGACTTCTTTGAAGTCCTGGGAGAGGACCACTGTGGCCAGATCCAGGACCAGAGGACCACTGTGGTCAAATCCACTGGAGAGCAAAACAGAGGAGGAATCAGAAGCCAAACTTAAGTCTGGAGATAGGGAATCTCAAGGTAAGGTTGGAGATGGTGGAGCCAAAAGATGGAGAAGCCAGGGAGATGGAAGGTGGAGCTGGAGGATCTCCAACTTCAATGGACATCTCACTTGATGCAGCACAGAAAACATCAGGAATTGGTACTTTGCTCCTCTCTGACCACCTTTAGTTACCTTCAAGCTGCTTTGCCATGTGGTAGTCCAAGGCAAGATCCCATGTGCGTGGCTGTGGTTTGAGGAAGAAAGCCACTGTGCCCGCAGTGTCCTCCCCTCCTGGCTAGAGGTGCAGAAAAGGGAAAGAAAGAATAAAATCAAAGTATTATCCTAGAAATGGGGACATCTCAGCTTTTCACCCCTTGTTAGGTCAGAAAACAGGTTCAACCACTGCATTTAATCAAAATACTTGAAAGAAAATGCCATTTTTTTTTCCTCCAGCAGTTGCAAAGGAGCTTGATTCATTTATGGGAAGACCCATGGAGATGGATTAAATCTATTAATTCCGTGATGAGTAGGAGGGGAACATGAGGAGCAAATTGGGATGGACCCACCTACCTTGTAGATATGATTATACCCCAAAATCCCCGATCCTTGTGCTGACTCAGGGATGAATCCATCTTGAATCCATCTTGGCCTCCACCGTTCATTTTCTTGGGCAATCAAATCCAACAGGGTTTATTTGAGTGAGAAAAATTATTAAAATTGAGTCCAACTCTCACATCCAGAGAAATCCTGCGAGAGATGGAGAAATTTGCCATTGGCCCCAAGGAAAATGTGCACGGGGGAGATAAGAGCTGGTGTCAAAGGGCCTCAAATCCATCCTCCAAAACCCAGCATGGGGCCTTGAGTGCAAACAAGCGGTTGCCTGTGGTAAAAAGCACTGGAAATTAGTAACAAAGCCCCAAAAATGCTTAAATAAACCACATTCTGATGTTCAAAAATCAACAGGTTTCTTCTGTTCTGCGTGCTTTCCCCAGCAAAACTGTAGAGAAGTTTTGCTTCTTACAGTAGAGAAGGGAATTAAAGCAGCAGGTGGATGAGTAAAAACGGGGAAAAGGTGGGAAAAATCACCCTTCAGTTAAGATACAAGCAGGAGCCGTGTTGTTTCTCACCCAAATTTTCCCAGATGGATCACTATGGGTAGATGAGAAGCAAATAATAACCATGACCAATCACTGCAAAACACCTTTAAATCCAAAATAAAGATCCTGAGGGCAAAGCAAGGATAAATCTGCTTTCTTTCCTTCATTGATGGGGTGAAGAGAGTGCTCAAAACCCCCTTTTTCCCCTCAAAAGACAGCAGGATGGTGTAATCCACCTGGCAGTGCTGGGATTTTCCCCTCTCTTGAACCTTTCAGGGTTTTCCTTGGTGGCACAGGCACTGTTTAGAGGTTCCTCCGGCTGCTTTTCCTCCACCAGCTTCTTCTCCACTTGCTTGTTTTTCCTCTCGGGATTTTCCCCCTCTCTCTGGCACAGGCTCAGCGAAAGCTCAGTCTCATCTCTGCCTCTGCCAGTTCTTAGCCAGGGAGGGAGGACACCTCCAGTCTCCCTCATGGGTCTGCGATGCGCTTGCGCGCCTCCTGCACCCTCTGATTGTACTTTTTTTTCCACATTTCAAGGTCATTTACTTTCTCAAGGTGTCAGGGAGAAGAGGGGGAAAACAAAACAAAACAGGTGGTTCAAAAAATGTGCATCATTGCACTGTAGCACAGGGAAGAAATTGGTTTAATTTTTACCCTCAAAATTTGCAGCCCCTTCCTGTTTTTTCTTTCTCCCATTTCTCTCTGCCTCTTTCCAGATCCCTAGTTTGTCATTTGTCCCTCTGTGTCCTCCCGGGCAGTGGGAGCGGGGAGAGGCGAAGGGCGGCGTCTCCCTGCTGCAGCCGCCATCTGGTGTCCGAACTGCGGTACTGCAGCCCGGCGGCCATGCGCGGCTCATTAGAACGGGCTCATTCGGCTCAGCGCTGCCGCCTGGCGGACACAGCTCTGTACTGCAGTTCGTCCGCTGGACGCACATGCAATGCAGCGGTCTCTGCTGCCACCTGGTGAATCATTTTAGGTACTGCAGCTCTCTTCGGCGCATGCGCACTAGCGTTATTCCAGTTTACAGCTGTTGCATTGCAACCGGATTAGGTTCTGCTACGCTGATTCCGCACGGGAGATACGGTGCGGGGCGGAACC